CTAGACCCAAATCGAAATTTATTAAAAATATTTCTTTAACTCAAAATTATTGAAAAGTTCAACCATATCAATTATTTTAAAGGAATATCGGATTTATTTTTTATTGCACCAATTGGTCGTGTAGTTTTATTTCTGGTTGAAAAAATAAAATTTCAAAAACATAATAATTCAAATTATAATGTTGGATAAGATATTTTGTACTATCACGGTTTGGTTTAAATTTAAATATGATATTGACTATTTAATCGTAATAAATAACATCTAGAAAATGGAAAACAAAACTGGAGATAATTTTAAAAATAATTCTAGACTGTCATTGTTAGATTTTATTAGTTTTGCTTTTTATTTAGTGTATATATTTAATTTTATTTATGTTGAACCTACAGATGCTTACAAGTATGAAACCAATATACATTTGGACCTATGAAATTTATTTATTTAATTACAGACTCGGAAACAGGTTAAATTTTACGACAGTATCGTATTACATGAATATCAAGTAGACAAATAAAGATGTCTCTAAACCATATTTATGTATGCAAAATGTTGAGGTTCGCATGAATTAAAGTTTCATTAAAAAAATTGATTTGTCTACTATAATATAAACTAGATCACAGTGTTTTAAAGTGGCTAAAAAAATAATATATTAATCATACAACAAATTAAAATTATTAATTTAGAAGGCAATGAAAGATACCGTCCTTGTAAAATTAACAGTTAAGGTGACCCATTGTATTTCTGCTTAATTGATTGTTTCTACTTTGATGTATAATAATTTTTGGAACTAGCACCGGCCTATCTTGTATAGAAGCTTTCGGCGGCAATCTCTTTTAATCATCACATGTATAATAATACATCTATAACTCTGTGCACCAAAGCGTTCAAGGAAGCTGTCAGTTACTCTTCAAATTAAAATCCGGAAGTTTTCGACAAATTTAAAACTATGTAACGTCATATTACTCATAATTGTTACTATCTATAAACAATTCTTAATTATATTGACAACTGAACAAATCCTTATATTTAATTATGTTAAATAGTTAATACTCTTATGTAACGCAATAACATATACAAATTCATACAAAAAATACAAATTTTAACAAAAAATATAATTTTTTTAAAACTTAAAAGTGAACTGGGGACGTGTGGACATTATGTATACATGCAAAGCTTGTTAATTTTAATTTTTACAAACATGTATTTTAGGATGACACTTAGAGCATTATATAAAACCAGCATAAATCGATTAAAAATTACAATTTTGTTGGGTGTGGTCTCCTCATATGATTTACTTAGTCTTAAGAGTCCGTAAAAATTCAAGTAGAAAAAAAACTGTTGAATTTAAGTGAATAATTAGGTAGTTTGAACAAGTTTTCTCTAGACAATCTTTTTCAATTATTTACTCTGAAAATAATACAAATTTGTGTAAAAAATGAAAAAAAAATTACGAGTAAATAATAAGTATGAAAATAAACTATTTAAAATAATATTTGAAATTTAAGAACGTTTTTAGAGTTAAATTACACTAGATTATTGTACGTGTAGTACAACATTGGAGCATCGTGGTTTTATTAATAATTTAGCAAAGAAAACATGATTGATCGTAAATTCAAGTTATAATTTCGAATAGTGGAACTTTTACATAAGCATTTTTTGAGAAAATCGAGTACCGACCGTAAAAAATGTTTCAATTAACCTGTGTAATGCCATTCCGTTTCGGTCGGGTCGTCGACGGTTACAAAATGGTTCGTAATCCTTAAGATCGCGATTAATTTTGCGAAATTGCAAAACTGATTGTTTTTATTATGTAAGAATCTGAGATATAAACAGCTAAGCAGTGATAAATTGCCACTCTTGTGCATGTCAGAGAGTAAATGGGTTTTGTTTAAAATGACAGATGTTACTATAACAAATCGACTGTAATGAAAAATATCTGGTTGACTTTAACGGTTTACTGGTTAATTGTGTTCTAACTCTTATAGAATTCATTGTATCTGTTATCTAATTGTTTTATACTAGTACGCTGTCAAAGCAACAAAAATTCTCGGTTTACTGAATTTTTTTATCAAGTTTCTAAATTTAAAGAATCACTACAGTAAAACAAGAAACCCTTTGTTATCAAAGTTAAGTTTAGCACAAGAGCTTTTTAAAATATCTTTAGTATTATAAATGTTGATAATAATAGATAATTAGATAATTTAAACAATAGTTTGATGAAACATAAATTATAATTAATTTGTATAATTCTCAGTTTTATTATGAAATACATAATTACTTTTTATACCATATATTTATATCTGATTTGAAATAGAAAATTTGTAGTTTACAAAGTGATTTGTATATTATTAGGTTATATTATATTAGATTATATAGACAATTATTTCTAGTATTGTGTCAGTTAATTATTCCAAAGATATAATCGAAAACAAAGATATAACGAATAATACTACTGCAAACATATTTAACAGAAAGCACCGAACAAATCTTCATGGCCAATTAACATAATCATTTATCTTATTCTTTGTACTTACAAGTCTCATTTATCTAACATTTAAGAAATAAAAATAATTGTTAAATTATATACTCTTCCGTTTTATGTAGGAAATCCTTAGTTTCCATTATGTAATGCATCATGAAAAATTAGTGCAATGCGTTGCGCACTTATAATGTTACCTAGAGCTATTGTTTAATTTATCGCCTTTTTTTATATTCCTTAAGAACTCAGTATATTCATAGTTTCGTAAATTGAAATCAAAAGGAAGGATATTGAAGAAAAGTCGTTTCAAATAAATGAAAAATAGTAAAAAAGGCGTAATCTCTAAACTATAAACTATCAATTTGATGGATGCTCTGTAGTTTTGATATTTATCATTATGTTAAAATTAATAGCTATTTCTTACAATGTTATAATAAAAAGTTTTCTTTATGAATTTTCGTAAAGAATAAATAATAATAATTATCAGAATTCGGCTTGTATTAAACTTGCGTGGGGGTGGTCGTAAGTAGGCGTGTACAGATTTTGAATATAAAAATCACTTTTGACTCCTGTAGCTGCTCCGTGTTGCTCCTCCTGAAAGAGGCCGAAGAGAAGGACGGCATGAAGACACAAACTAATATAATTACAAATGTAGCATCGAAAACCGGTAATCTCTAAATGTAACGACCACTTAATGTATAATACTTCAATACTAACTACATCGATAATCCTCCAGCCGACAATGAATTATGTCTAATTTGTACGTGAATCGGTATTAGATATTCGATGTGTGATTGTTGTTCATCCGGGTCGGTTTCAATGTGGTGGTACGCTTTATATCATTTTTACACGTCCATCTCTCTCGTTCATTATTCGTCTGTATTTATGCATTACATTAGTTGCGGGTATCTGGAGGCAATCTATCGGAATCGACACTCGTAAATCTTCCATAAGTACTTAGTAATTTTTTTGTTTTTGTCGAGTAAAAAAAAAATCACACAAGTTTCTGTGTTTTTATCTGCTGCCGACACGGTCTGATTCAGCCACGCCTGATACCTTCCCATAAATATTTAATAATGTAAACAACGCAAAAAAGATGTCCAAGTTATTTTTACTTTTAGTATTTTTCAAAGAAATTTTACTAGGCATCTTTGATTTAGGGCGTAAGTACTAAAAATTCTGACGCTGTATTTAACAAAATTATTACTCAAAGATAGCGACGAACGCACAGAAAAGATATAAAACACATTTTACACGGATGTTATTAACTTATTTTTCTATCAGTGGTAGTTGTAATAAACTGAATGAAACAATCTTTCGCTTTAGTCTAATCCGAAAAAGTCATTTTCATGTTTTAACTATCAGAAAATCTTCAAATGAAACTTTTGAATTACAGTACATAACATTTATGTACTAAGTTATTTAATTTACAGGAAACCTTTTTTTAGTTATTTATCAGTTAAAAATCATGAAAATAATAACAATAAAATAAAAAAAAAACATGTTTGATTCTGTTTCTGTTAATGAGGGGATATAAGCTCTTATATCCCTACAACCAAATCCTTAATAGATTGTTTAGTGTAAGATAAATTTAAAAAAAAAACTTTTTTATAAATTAAGTACTTTTTGAAATATTTAACAAATATTTCCTACATATTATTTATATAAGAGATGCAAGCTTATAAAAATAGTAAAAATGTGATTAATTTCTAAAGTTTTTTAACTATATTATTTTTTGTAACAACCATGAATGTTGTTTTGGATATTATTAAGAGTGTCTGATGATCTTAATTGAAATTATAATTGTATTGTTACGATATGTACCTGATCGATTTGTTTTCGATTATAATATTTTACCAAATACCTGCTTATGGCTTTGAGTACATTTTTAATCAAATATTTCTATTTAAAATAAAAACATTATTTTTTTGACAATACATAGTAGTTTCTTTAAACTGGTATTATTCAGGACTGGCATTATACTTAAAAAAAACAAGTGCATAAAGGCGTAAGAACACTTATTACTATGTTTTTACCACTTATATTATACACGTTTTATTTCTATTAAATTAATTCGTAATACATATTAATTAGCATAGAGGGAGATGCTGATGTGACAATTCTACTCGTCTGCAGCCCGGAGCTACTGACGTCGAACTAATAAAGGGCAGTTGTGTTTGAGTGGCCGTTATAGTTGTAGTTTTCAATGCTATTACTTTTGTCTTATTTATATTATTAATAAACTTAACTTGTGTTATTCAACGATTCGTCTATCGTCAATTGTCATCACAGCCAACCAATTCTGTCTTACTTGGATATACTTACTAACCAACTGTACTAGGATTCAGGTCAGACTTTTGTGCATTACATATAACTTGTATTTACTAAACATCTAAAATATACATCTCTTTGTCGTTGGAATAAAACAGTAGAATAGCTTTATTATATAATCTTCTTTAGTNCTCGTCTATCGTCAATTGTCATCACAGCCAACCAATTCCGTCTCACTTGGATATACTTACTAACCAACTGTACTAGGATTCAGGTCAGACGTTTTGTGCATTACATATAACTTATATTTACTAAACATCTAAAATATACATCTCTTTGTCGTTGGAATAAAACAGTAGAATAGCTTTATTATATAATCTTCTTTAGTAACTAAGGTACACGATTGCTTGTGTCTCCTTCAGGTAATTAAAATAGGGAATAGGGACAATATTTGGGCAGACGTCGAGTAGCTTCCGATTCTTGGTTTATACTTGAGGATCTTGGTTCCTCGAGTGTTAAAAAAACCCCTAAAAAATGTTTTAATAAGAAAAACGTACGCATCGGTCTTGTACATTAATTTCTTTTTTAACCCATACGACCAAACCATTTTTTATTAGGTCTGTAACGCATAAATATAAATTTTACATGAGAAAATTGCTTTTAAACTTCTATTATTCCGTAAAAAATTATGTAACCAAATTAATATACTATCTACACATAAATGTTGAAAATAAATTATAGAATATTTTCAAGAGTAATACTTTTTTTTTTAAGTTATGCAAGATATTGTTATGTGTAAAGTATTATAATTTTTTATTTTAGTCTATTAATACATACGTTACAATAAATAGTTTCCTCTAATGATACGAGTTCAGCAATCTGTCGAACGTTATGTTCAAAACTACTTTAAAACTAATTAACACCCATTATTATACATATAAATATAGTTTAAACTAGCTGTATTGTGATTTTGAAATCAATTGTCTAAGATATATAGTATTGTTTAGTATTAACGCGTTTTTATTGTGAATCCAAAAAATCGTAATTATAATATACTTTTATCATAAATTATATCACATAAGGGCAGCAAAAAAAATCATATAATTCCAATATTAATAGTACTGATTGATAATCATTTTTTTACTTAAACTAAATTTTATTAAAAAGAGTTAAATTTAATTGTTAAAAATAAGCACCGAGAATTATTTAATTATTGGCATGTCAACATTAAATTAAAAATCATAGCAGTATAATTTTGTAAAAATTAAAAAATTTCCTGATTTAACGATTTTAAAAATCGTGTTTTTTGGGGGATTTTATCATTTGCGGTAAACAAGCGATTTTTTTTCAATTTTTAAGGGCAATGCCTTCAAATACATACGGTTTTTGACACACCGTTGAAAGAGGTCGGTATGAACTTTGAAAAAAGTGGCGAAAGACATAAATAAAAGACATCATTGTAAAATAAATTTAATTTAACCTTCTCAGCTTTGCATCAAAACTAAAAATAGAAATGTTTTTTAGCTTCGATGCGAAGCTGAGAAGGTATTAGTTTTACTATGATGTGTGTTTTTTTTTTTTTGTGTCTATTACCACTTTTTCTCAGCTCTCACCAAACGGATTTCTTTCAACGATACGTCAAAAGATCACAAATCATATCTAGTCGAAGACATTACCCTTAAAAATTGAAAAAAATTCCCCCGTTCCCCGTAAATGGGGGAAACCTCCAAAAAAATTACAAATTTAAAAATCGCTAATTTTTTAAATATTTTCAATTTTTTTTCCTAAAATGTGCCGTAACTTTTTCAAAAATGAACATATCAATATAATTTTTTTTTATATAGATGCTTGATGTCTTTATTTATCATTTGGTATATTTTTTTTGTAAATTTGACCCTTTATCTGCCCACAATAGGGGATTTAAAAAGACAAATTTTTCACAAAAAATTAACTTTTTCAACTTAACTTTTGAATATGTTCCGGAAGGTCTGACACTTTTATATATATCTTAAATTAAAGCTAATGTAATGTACTTTAATTTGAAAAAAAAAAATTTGACCTCTGGACTTGTCTTCATGGTGAAAGTTGACATCAAAGTTAATAAAAAATTACGATTTTTGTAAAATAATTTTTTTTTATATTTTTAACTTAATAATGCTCTAACTTTTTCAAAAATGAACATATCAATATAATTTTTTTTTATATAGATGCTTGATGTCTTTACTTATCATTTGGTATATTTTTTTTGTAAATCTGACACTTTATCTGCCCACAGGGGGGGATTTAAAATGACAACTTTTTCACAAAAAATTAACTTTTTCAACTTAACTTTTGAAAATGTTCCGGAAGGTCTGACACTTTTATATATATCTTAAATTAAAGCTAATGTAATATACTTTAATTTATGAAAAAAAATGTTGACCTCTGGACTTGTCTTCATGGTGAAAACGGCTACCGAATGCTATTTTTGTGTGAAATTTCTCGATTTTATATTTTACATTTTTTACTTTAAAGTGCTATAACTTTTTAAAAAATGTATGGATCAANGCTATAACTTTTTGAAAAATGTATGGATCATTACAATTTTTTTATGAGAAGTAGTATTTACATAGATTTTTTTAAATCGGACCATTTTCCTTAATACAGGGGGGATTCAAAACATAAAAATGCATATAGAAAGTAGAACTTTTTCTACTTTGAAATTTCTCGATTTTATATTTTACATTTTTTACTTTAATAGGCTATAACTTTTAAAAAAATGTATGGATCAATATAATTTTTTCATGAGAAGTAGTATTTATATACATCTTTCATTCGACATACTATTTTTTTAAATCAGACCATTTACCTATATACGGGGGGGCTTTAAATATTATAAATGCATATAGAAAGTAGAACTTTTTCAATTTAAAACTTTTTAAAGTGTTCCGGAAGGTCTGACATTTATATATTTATATCTTAAATTAAAGCTTATGTAATATACTTTAATTTGAAAAAAAAAATTTGACCTCTGGACTTGTATTCACGGTGAAAAGTTGACATCAAAGTTAATAAAAAATTACGATTTTTGTAAAATAATTTTTTTTTATATTTTTAACTTAATAATGCTCTAACTTTTTCAAAAATGAACATATCAATATAATTTTTTTTTATATAGATGCTTGATGTCTTTACTTATCATTTGGTATATTTTTTTTGTAAATCTGACACTTAACCTGCCCACAGGGGGGGATTTAAAATGACAACTTTTTCACAAAAAATTAACTTTTTCAACTTAACTTTTGAAAATGTTCCGGAAGGTCTGACACTTTTATATATATCTTAAATTAAAGCTAATGTAATGTACTTTATTATGAAAAAAAATGTTGACCTCTGGACTTGTCTTCATGGTGAAAACGGCTACCGAATGCTATTTTTGTGTGAAATTTCTCGATTTTATATTTTACATTTTTTACTTTAATAGGCTATAACATTCTGAAAAATGTATGGATCATTACAATTTTTTTATGAGAAGTAGTATTTACATAGATTTTTTTAAATCGGACCATTTTCCTTAATACAGGGGGGATTCAAAACATAAAAATGCATATAGAAAGTAGAACTTTTTCTACTTTGAAATTTCTCGATTTTATATTTTACATTTTTTACTTTAATAGGCTATAACTTTTAAAAAAATGTATGGATCAATATAATTTTTTCATGAGAAGTAGTATTTATATACATCTTTCATTCGACATACTATTTTTTTAAATCAGACCATTTACCTATATACGGGGGGGCTTTAAATATTATAAATGCATATAGAAAGTAGAACTTTTTCAATTTAAAACTTTTGAAAGTGTTCCGGAAGGTCTGACATTTATATATATATATCTTAAATTAAAGCTTATGTAATATACTTTAATTTGAAAAAAAAAATTTGACCTCTGGACTTGTATTCACGGTGAAAATGGCTACCGAATGCTATTTTCGTGTGAAAATTCTCGATTTTATTTTTTTAATTTTATTTAACTTTATAATGCTATAACTTATTGAAAAGTTTATGGATCCACACAATTATTTTTATGAGAAATAATATTTTTTAATAAACTCTTTTTTGTTCGACATACTTTATCTTAATCGAGATATTAATAAGGAACCAGCAGATCATGTAGCTTTTGGAATAAAACACCAATTTTTTTAAAATTAAACACTGTCTAAAGATTTGGATCGAAGCGTTTATTTTTGATAGTCATTTTAATCACTGTCAGATATCATTATACTTGATCCAACTATACCACGGCACCACTGTGCCACGACCCCCCTGTGCTGGGTTTTTTTGTTTTAAATTTCCTAAAATTATTTCAAACGTTTTATAAAAGTTGTTTAAATTTATGGGACTGTTCTATCAAGTTTAATCAATGCTTTAGATTTTTTAAGTTGCATTTAAGTTTCATTTTTTGAAAAAATAACTAAACTTTTGAATATAAAATTTTGTTGGTTAAATTTACAATTATATAACTTTAACTAATAAATAGATGACTTTATAAGTATTTAAGAAATGTTAATTTTATGTATTTTAAGAATCGTTTTTAAACCATTCTTTATAATTATATAAATAATTATTAATTATTAATTAATTTTTCGTATAATAATCATACATAAAATGTATATATACCATCATATTGAACGATAAAAAATATTTCTACTTTATATTACTTTACAGTAAAATAATATTGGAAAAGTATTTTTTAATGAATTTTCGAGATTTTACTGTGCTTTTTGTTTTGCACGCAATTTTTTCGGTTTTAATTTACTTAAAATATACAATTTTAATATTTTTTTAATTCTTATTAAATTATCTATTTATTAGTAAAAGTTATATAATTGTAAATTAAACCAACAAAATGTTATACTCAACAATTATAAAAAAGTAATATTTGAAAATTCAGCTATTTTTTCAAAAAATGAAACTTAAAATATCCAAAATATCAGTTAAACTTGATAGAACAGTCCCACAAATTTTGCCCAACCCTAATAAAATATTTTAAATTTTTTTTAGGAAAATTAAAACAAAATAAAAACTTGAACTATTTTACTACGATTTTACTATGAAATTACCGCTAACTATTAATTAGTAAATATCTCAAAAACTAGATGTGATAGGAAAAATCTGAATCAAGATTTACAATCAACGTCGAAATTCCATTTAGAAATCATATAAAAATATTAATTGATAAAAAATGTTTTTTTTTATTTGTTGTCTCCTGTTTTATCAATATTATTTTTATTTCA